TCCAGGATATGGATTTTTTATCAGCTCTGTCCTCTTGCACACATAGAACACTAATAGATTATTTTTATTTAACTAGAAGGTTTAAAATCTTTGTAAAACAAAATCTAATTGATCCTGAAGTCAAACCACTACCTCAGAGAAGTCTTTTTACTGGGTTAAAAACAAACAAAATATTTTTTTTGAACCAGGAACTAAAATCTAGATTAACAGATCTACTGTAGGAGGAGAGAACAAGAACTGTGAAGTGACACTCTGCTCACAGGAGAATACCGTTTTTAGTGTGACGGTACCAGAAACAAGTTTCCCAAAGCAATGCTCTCTAATGCAATCTGCTTTGTGATTATATTTTCAGGATCTTTATTATGATAAGGAACATTATAAATATATTTATAATGAGAAGAAGGATTTTTGAATATTTTAAACATTATCCTTAACAATACTCCAAACAATTCCAATACCTTTAAATATTTTTTTGCTTCTGTCTGTCAAATCACCTGTCCCCATTTGCCTCCCCTCCTAACATGTATAAAATAGTTTCATGCTGATAACAATTTCCTGAAAAACAGAAACTGACCTAATACTCGAAAAGTTCATTTCCCAAATTTGTTACTAAGATCAAGTGCAAGCATTACAAACCTGTGTACCTTTATGTAGTTCTATTATTAATTAATAATAATTCCTTATACTTATATAGCGCTTTTCTGGACACTCCACTCAAAGCACTTTACAGGTAATGGGGACCCCCTTACCCATTACTCTCCATCCCCCCCCCAAGTAGATTTTAAGAATTACTTTGACTTAAATCTTAAATCTTGACATTTTATGTTCGAGAGTTGAACTGCAAGCTTTTCTACCTAGGTGTGCAGAAAGATAGGTTTGCGTCACAGTTGGTTGTGTTCATTAACAGACAATTGTTCTTATGGGAAGATGTACGCAGTCTTACGTCATGCTGGAACGTAGTCAGATGTCTTTTCTCTTCCTGACTTGTTTTCCCACTTTGTCTGAGTTCCAGTTTTTATCATTTTTCATTTGTCTATGTGTTCTTTCTATAACCCTGCAGGGTTTTTACAATGGAAATGTGCATGCTGAAAAGCTAAAGTAGGGATTTTTCTGACTTGTTACTAACGCACACACATTCATAAAGTGCCAGTGCCGTTCTTAAATATTGTGTTTTTTTTAAATGAAAAGGATATTCTGTATCTGTAATACAAAGCTTTGATAAAACCTACAAGCACATTATGCTAAAAATCCACGAAGTGATACAGTCTTCAACGTATAAATAAAGTGCACTTTCAAATTGTGATTATACATTTCATTAAATAAATGTTTGACAGAACAAATAGTCCTATTATACTAAGAGCTCTGTATAATTTGAATGATAACATTTCCTGAACTGATTTATTTCTCGATTATTATATATGTCTCAAAAACCTTTGTTATACTAAATGTGTATTTCCAAGCCAGTATTGAACCGGGAAGATAGGTGTTATGGTGTTTGAGTTATGTGGATGGGAGAAGATTATGTTCTTATAATGTAAATGTTTTTTTTATGTGCTATTTAATAGTATGGAATTGTACTCATAATGGCTATTTTAATCAATAATCATTACGTTAATAGCAATAGCTTATTAATAATCAATATGGTTCTTAATGTTGCATATATTACTGTAACTTGTATATTTTATATTACCCTTATGTAATGTTTTATATACATAAAAACATTACATGTCTAGTGAATGTCAGAAATGGTACTTGTTATAATTTTCTATGCCAATGTTTAAAAAGAACATTACAAATTTAATTTTCATTTTTATCAATTTTGTTTATACTTTTCTCAAAACAGAAACATGGAAAAACTCACAAAACATGGCTACTTTGGATCAAATTACACCAATTTGTAATAGAATTGTAATATAAAGTCAAATCTGAGAAAAACTAAAGTGTCTTTTTTGTCATAAAACTAATCTCCCTGGCTAATCTTCCTTAAGGGTTGAATCTTATGAGTCTGGGAAAGACAAGAGAAGCTCTTCTGTATGGTTATGACATTCTTATTTATCCCTTGAAAAATACTACAAACAGTAGGTGATGGCAACCTTCTAGTGCCATGTATTTATGCACCATTTGTTATAATATTTAAGATATAGTGCTTTTGTAGGTCATTTTTTTCTATGGTTGTTTTTATTAAGAATAGTGTATACAATTTGGTCTCATTAAAGTGTAGATATACTGTAGCTGTTCTGGAATCAGTCCAGAGAAGAACCAGATGTATTCTGGGGCTTAAGGGAAGGTCCTTTATTGGCAGTGCTGAATAGAGAAGATTACAAGGGGACCTGGTAGAAGTATTCAAAATCCTCAAAGACATTGAAAATTAACCCAGCAGATTTCTTCAGAATGCACAGTGAGACACAGATCAGAGGTCACAAATGAAAACTGCATGGAAGTGCACTGAAAACTGAGAACAGGGGGCACTTCCTTACCCAGATGGTTTGGGGAGTATGGAACAAGCTACCCAACCATATTGCTGAAGCTAATACACTAGCTTCTTTCAAGAAATGGCTAAATGAGTAAAAATTAATCATAGGGTTTCTTAATTTAAGATCAGGAATATTTTTGGAATATTTTTGGAACTTTTGGAACTTCATTAAGAAATGAAACCTAATATTCGCAACTTAAATTCACTTTTATGTTGTAGGTCAACGGGGTTCTCAGCCCTTGTGCTGAGTACTTCCAGACTTACCTGTTTTCATTACAGCCGAGACTGCTTAGTTTGAATCCTTGTAAAAAATTTTCCACTTAAAGCTTTTAAGTTGCGTAAAGAAACACAATGGTTAAAAGGCACCCTTCTACATACACATCTATTGTCTAACCAGTTTATCCAACACTAGGTCACAGGGGAGCCGGAGCCTATCCCAGCATGCAGCATGTGCAAGACGGGACATACTCTGGATGGGATGCTCATGCAATCACAGGGTGAACATACAAACTCCATGCAGATTGCTAACCACTATGCCCACCTTACCTCCTCTTTCTACATACTGTATTTAGAAATAAAAACAAATAGCAATTAAAGAGTCCAGATTAAACCTACTAAAATGTCTATTAAAGGTTTGATTATTTAATGATTGCTCAGGTGGAGCAAAACATAGTATGTATGTGGTTTCCCAGGAGTTGTTATAGGTCGTTATTGTCTATGGTATTTTGTCTAATTTCTTTGTTTTGATTAATTTTCTTTTGTCCCAATGTTTTATTAAACAGTTTTTGAGATACCTTTTATGATTTATTTTACCGAATGCTTCTTTTTTCCTACTCACTGACAGCTGATGTGTGGGGAGCGTACTGGTACACTATGACTGCCATTGCATCATCCAGGTGGGGCTGCACGTTGCTGGTGGTGGAGGAGTCCCTATTACCCTTAAAGCACTTGAAGTGAAGAGCCCAGAAAAGCGCTTACTTAACCAACCAGTAGATGGCAGTCTTGTTTATATCATGGCTTGAAACCTTATCGTTTGAAAAATATATATTTTTTTAAATTGTATTGGTGGCTGTAAATATATTTCGTTGGCTGCATGTAACCTTTACAAAAATATGTGCATTTTCACTTGTCTAATCATATTAGCTATTTCAAAAAAATCAGTTTGTTTACTATAATAAAAAAATAACTGTCACTGGCACAGGCATCTTCCTTCATATAGTACCAGCATCCTGCTTGCTATAACTTAATTACTGGCAGATTTGGGCTTTAGAAGTTTTTTTTTTTAAAAAAAGGTAATTAGCCTCATAATTCTATTTCAAACTGTTCAGTTAATCTGTTCAAATGTAAATATCAAACATTTAAACCTTTACAAATTTTATCAAACCAAATGCAGCAAGAAATCAATCCAACCATCAGCAAGTGAGATAGGAAAGGAAGTTTGTTTATTGTGTATTGATCATTCAGAGTGTGATGGATTTTAGAGGAAATCTCCCCAATTCCCCGCCCCAATACAAACAGATACAGACCTCCCACACATACACAAACACACGCATCCTCTTCACTCCTGAATCAAACAAACGTTACAGATAATGGTCATTGTATTGCACGACAGTGAAAGACCGGTACATACCGGTTTTAAGGATTGTGTACTAGTTCACTTTACTACATTCTAAGAACCCCTGTCTGTGTGGCCTTGTGTCAAAAACACCTTCTTGGTTCTTTAAATCAAAATTGCAAAGGAGAAGAGGCGTGGTTAGGGAGTGATGTACGCAACAGCAGCTTTGTTACAGGGTAGAGCGTGTTAGTTTGTACTCAGCTGTTAAAGAGTACGGAGTGCCTCTTGTCATGAAATTTGAAAGCTACGGTTTTAATATATAAGGGACATAAAATCTTAATACCGCCAGCTTTGGATTAAAAGGGGGAAGCAGGATCTTCCGTTGTACAGTATTGACAGGATTTGAATTTTCTGTTGGGTGCTGTCTTCCTCGTTGCATTAACTAGAATCCTCAAGACTGGATCGACTGCATCCTTTATGATAAAGGGTGATCAAGGAAAGGGATTCTGCTGAAGCGTCTGAAGAAAAATACCCGCCGAACAAGCTCTGCAACAGCACAGTCGGTTTGGAAGAAACCAAAATGGGATTTTAGTATTTCGCAGTGTGGAGAACTGGGACGCAGTCTGCCCTGTTTTGCTCTTTGAAACGGGAGCTGTATGGCAGAGCGCTGGACTGTCTCTACTGCGACCATATAAGCAGTGGTATGGTCTTCTCATGAGGACGTTGCAAGGGAACACTTCATTGAATGAGGACACGTTTTACATTCAGCTGTATTTATAATATTCAGTTCATTGTTCTGAACATCTGAAAACCAGATCCATTTCCGAATCTTCACTGAGCTCAAATGCATTTAATTGAAAACTTATGATTTTTAAGTGAGGTGCTATATACAGTTAAGGCATAAATATAATACCCGAATACTTTTTAAAAATGGGAAACAGTTTTTCCAATATATCCGCTTTTCAGTCCCTTCATATAGTTATGCTTGGTCTGGACTCCGCTGGAAAAACAACCGTTTTGTACCGACTTAAATTCAACGAGTTTGTCAACACCGTGCCCACCATTGGATTCAATACGGAGAAGATTAAACTAAGCAACGGGACGGCCAAAGGTATTAGTTGCCACTTCTGGGATGTTGGGGGGCAGGAAAAGCTGCGGCCTCTTTGGAAATCCTACAGTCGGTGTACGGATGGCATTATTTATGTTGTGGACTCTGTGGACGTGGACAGGTTAGAGGAAGCCAAAACAGAACTTCACAAAGTCACCAAGTTCGCGGAGAACCAAGGAACGCCGCTTTTGGTGATTGCCAACAAGCAGGACCTGCCGAAGTCTCTTCCAGTAGCTGATATTGAAAAACAGCTAGCACTTCATGAGCTAACCCCGGCGACCACATACCATATCCAACCAGCTTGTGCCATTATTGGAGAAGGACTGCACGAGGGAATGGACAAATTGTATGAAATGATTGTGAAAAGGAGAAAATCCTTGAAGCAGAAAAAGAAGCGATAACGATTTCCCTGTCGCTGTTCTCAAGAAGCTAACGAACTATATATATATACTTTTCGGGTAATATCTTAACGTACCCAAATTGAAATGTTTACTTTGCAGCGATTTTTTTTCGTTAACGACAAAATTACTGCTTTTAAGACTCCGTGGCAGTATGGTTAATTGCACGCAAGGTGTTTAGAGGGTGCTGTGTGTCATCGACGTTTAACCAAAAATGCATTATTACTATTGAACGGGCTGGCCCTGTTTGATGTTTGCTGCTTCTTACTGGATTCTAAATGTAGCCTGACAATTTATATTTAGGAGTTAATTAAAGCACTGTGACAGTGTCGGGACATTCCTGATAATACTATTCTTCACTGAATCTAAATGGATGGCTTGTTTTAAAAGTTTTTTTTTTACTTGCACGTGACGTGGATGTAAATTATACCTGAAGTCGACCTAAAATCATGGCCCACTTTTCCGATTTCATAAATGTAATCAAATGGTAGAGTCTATAGTTATTTGGCGCCTGGTCTAGGTCCAAATCTGAAGTCAAAAGCGCACCATGGTCTCTGCAATGACATTGTCTTGCCACTGGACCATAGTGGGGTTACATTGTACCTGTCTGCTTTGTTAAAAAACACTGTTGTGTTTTTCAGTGTTGCCTGCAGCATTGTCCAGAATTGTAGCAAACACCTCTTTGCACTTTTTTAATGAAATAGTTTAGTACTACACTGTAAAATAAGTGAGACTGTTTATGTATAGAGAAAAAAAACCGAAATAATTTAGCAGTATTTTTAAATTAAAATCTTTAAAAGCAACCTGCTTGTAGTACCTTGTATTCATCTTATAAAATAATCTAAAAATTTTAAGGATGGTTTAAAAACATGATGTGTGAAAACTAATACATTGACATTTTTTTTTCTTATCAGAAGTGACATCATTACACTTTTTAACTCTAGACATGGACATGTGTCACAAGGAATCACTTGACTATTGTTAGGAATTGCTTTTGAGTTTCAAGAGAAGCACAGGTCACAAACAAGAGGGGACCTTCTAGGCCATTTGCCTTGTTTGGTTGCCAGTTATTAGTTGATCTGGGAGTCTCATGCCGCCATTTTCTCAAAGAAGCTGGGGTGTCTGCTTCAATTGTGTGGCTGGGTAGCTTGTTTACAGCTGTGTTAAGAAATGAAACCTATTCTTAGCTTTAATTACACTTTCCCTTAGTTTCAATTTGTGTCTTCTGGTTCACTTACCTACTGCTGACTATGAAAAAGCCCATCAGGTTGACTGTTGTTGCCTTTGAGGATTTTAGATACTTGAAACACATCCCCAGGTAGTCATAACTGTTTGATGTTTGTTGGTTTTTGACATACCTTTAAAAATCTGGTCAGTCTTCTATGGACTGATTCCAGAGCTACTCTTTTTTTTTTTACAACAGGGGCCAATATCTTATGAAATTACTGAGTTTTTAAGCATCAGTAGTTATCGTCTGAAATGGTAACCTCTTCTAAAAACTGACATTAAACATCAGATAATTTGGTTAGAATTGGGTAGAAATAGGTATTATGGTTATACCACGGTGCTTCGGTATTGTAAGGCGTAAGATTCTGAGTATTACTGAACAAAATTGCCAGATGTTCCCCCGTGAAGAAAATTTCTCAGGAAATAGTGCTTATTCCATGTGTTCTGCTAACTTTAAGTGTGTTTTAGAGTGTGCCACAATTACACTCAATAACAAAGTCTGCCAACAATACGTTACAAAAAATATATTGTTTTATTGTTGGATATGTACCTTACATGAACTTGACAAACCTCTTCTGATTATTTAAGTTTGTTGTATGCAGATCCCATACAGGTTGTATGTTTATATGCTTTTGACCCTTTACTAGGCTGGTCTATAGTGGTATACTAAAATTTGTCAAATGACCATGAGTCCTAGTAATTTCTAGTTAAAATACAGAAAAGTGGGTCTTATTTTCCATAATATGGATGTCCCCTCCATGCCTGATGCAGATTGTAATTAGAATAAAACAGTTCCTAAGTAAAAGAGCTACACTTTTAAGATGAAAGAATAATTCAGTTTGGTACCTTGAAAATGTCAGCAACCCATGAAATGCATTTGGGTTCATACCAGTGTTAATTGGGATGTTAATTTGCCATACCTGCAATAGACTATTTTTCTGAATTGTTACTTTTTAAAAATTGAAACACTGAACGTTTGTATAGACTGTTTCTCAAACTCGAATAGATATTCTACTATGTAACACTCTGCACATATCTCATGGTTTGCACAAAAACAACTGTGAATATTTTTATTTGTAATAAAGATATCTCCAAGTTGTCATTATAATTCCTCTGCAAAAAACATTTTGGAATCGAGACTCCTTTTTTAAGGTATGCAGATATTCAAATACCTGTAGTTGTTTCTCCAGCTGTAGTGCTATGCCACTGTCTACTGTAGGACAAGTTAAACATTAGCCATCTACAAATCCTTTTTCGCTTTTTAAATCTCATCATTGCCAGGGCTAATACAAACTAATTTGCACAATGTCAACCTGTCTATTCTATGCCTTCCCCTTAAAGCAAAATACTTTAAGGACATTCACTATTCTAGTTTATTTTGTGCAGAGCATCAATACAATATTAAATTAAGTAAAATGAGCCTTTTCATAGTATAAAATAAAAATGTTATTGGTCAAAATTAAATATGCACTTAACTCAAACTTATTTGAGTGCTTTTACTCTGATGTAACCAATAATTTAAGATTTCCAAATTACATCAGGACTGCATTAATAAAGAACCCTGTTAAACATTCATCACTTACAGTGTAAAAGATGAGATTAAAAAGACCCCCCCAGCATCTTTGTGAGTATGGGGATTAAATTGAATAATTACTGAAAATTCTTGTGTGTATGTATAGATATTCTGGCATGTTAAAGAAACTCTCTTATTGTGGTGTGAGCTAGTCTTTATATCTTTATTTCCCTATGTGTTAGCACCAATCACTTCCTGAATTGTCTAGCCAATATTGGATATTCATCATCTGAAGTGCACCTGTCAAATTGTCTGTAGAGCACAAAAAAAAACAATTATAATCCAAATGTTATTATTTAATGCTATGCCAAATACAGATGTTGGTTACTACACCAGCCTGAACTCGGTGTCTAAAAGAAAAAATCTAATTTGTAAAAAAAAACTGCTGAAGGCCTTTTTTAATCCAGTAGTTATGTCATGAGATATGCATGAAACTCAAAAGCTAGATTTCAGGTCCTTTTGAAGCTGTTCATTGTTTCAGTATTCAGCCATCATTCGCATAAAAAAAAAACTTTTCCTACTTGTGTGCATCAGAAATGCATGTTGGTTTTTATATTAACATTTTGTTTTTAAATATATACTTTGCAACCCTGTATTGGATAAACCGGTCAGGAAATGGATGTACACCTGCTGACTACTATCACTGTCATTATACATCCACACATTTGCTGTTGCATTTCTTTTGAAGGTTAACACAAAATGAATGCAGAACAGTTAAACTTGTCATATTCTGTACTGCTGAAAAAGTCAAGAGGACATAAACAACTTTTAAGTTTTTATTTAGTTATGTCAGCAGAGAATCAAGTCTTATGAACAACAAACATAAGAGTTTATACAGCAGGGCATTTACTGGAGAAATTTGAGCAAAATACTTATCAAAAGTACAGCAGTCAACCTGGGATTAAATATAGTACCCTTTGATCTGAAGTATGCAAAAATTGGAAGTTCTCAGTCCCTGATCACCTTTCAGCAATTGCTCAAAACTCATCTATTTAGATATCAATTATAACCTTTGGCTACTTTCTTCAGTCACAATTACGTTGTATTGCACTACTGTTCTTTATTGTTCCTCTTACATTGACAATGTGATTTGTTTATTGCACTTAACAATATTGAATGCATCCCATCGGGAGTCATTACCACTTTGTATCCTTAATGACCTATATGCTGTTTGAGTTCTTGTTAATGTAATTCATTAATTCATGTTGTACATCATTGTTCCATGTACCTGCCTAATGTAAACTTCACACACAAACATATCTATTACATGTAAATCATGTAAAGGCATCTGCTAAGATGCTATGGCACTGCTACTAAATACAACTGGAAATGTACCTATGTAAGAGCTCCACTGCTGTCACCTACCAATTTTTGTGTGTTTTTAGGAGCTCCTGTTTTACTGCAACCTTGTAAATCAAGGTCCTTTGGAAGCAAAACAAAGATTTTATGATTGTTTTCCAGTTGTAGTAGGAGCAACACAAATATAAAAATGTAGATTTTTTAGGAAATTCACAAAAACATGAATAACATGGCTGATGTGCAAAGCAGCAAGTTGTAACACCTGCAAGAACAAATACAGTATAATTCAACTCTGACAAGATGAAGAATAAAAACACAAGTTTTCAACGAGAGGAGAAAAGCCCATAATGAGGTTGAGTGAGGCAAGCAAGATTTCACAGTGAGCAGATTTCTTCTGCTCTATCCCCCCCGCTGTGTGGCCCTGGGCAGGAAAGTGTTAATAGTTTAAAAGATGTGTAGAAAGTGATGGGATGGGCAGGCGTGGGGATTGACAAACACCTCATACAATGCAATTGGGACCTGCTGAGCTATTCTCTTTCAGTGGAGGATGGGGGAGGGGGCTGATGGAGATGTGAAAACATTTTGCCATCCTTCATTACTGACTTCACCCAGCTCTTAGGGGATTACACATATCGGCGTGTTCCTGTTAGCTCAGGCCCCTACAGTGGGGGTTTTCTGCTCTGAGGCTTCATCTGCATTTTTCTTATTTCCCAAAACTTCTTCTTTCAAATGTAATTGCATGTTACGAAGCTGAAAATAACAAGGATTATTCAAGTGTTTTTAATTGCATTTGACAACATGTATTTACGGTGATCTCAATAATTTCCTTGCTGCTGATGCTAAGTCCTTTTCTATTTTGTTTTACCAAATAGATTTATTTTCTTTTCATGTTTGGGGTATTGAAAAGTTGAGGATTTTACATCACTTTCAAAATACTTTATAATTCTTTATATGAATTCTTGATTGAAGCTTACATAATTTTTGAATTAGCCACCACATTAATCTACTTAGCCTTTGTTTCTGTGGAAAATTTAGCCGTTATTTTTCACTGTAAATCTGCTTGTTCCTAGAATAATACAGAATACATTGGAAATGACATTTTAATATGAGCTCACAAATGCTCACAAAGCTTCACAGTCTTTGTAAAATGTCTACATCAGTGATATATGTAGAAAGATGCCATTTTTTAATTTATGTATTCTACTAATGCACAAAATATATTCCGTAGATGCATTCCTCTACTTGAGGTTTTTCAGTATTGTCTTCAGTAATGCATAGAAGTACATGCTAAAATACAGTATATAAAATTACAAAATATTCAGATGACAACAATATGAAATAATCCAACACATAGAATAGTATTAATGTCTTGATTCATTCCTATTCCAGAAGCCACTCCCTGAGAATATTATTTCTGCGACACGGCAAATGGTTTGTGAATTCTTTCTCCAAATTATAAGAATTGTGCTCTCCCATTCTGTACTCCAATGATATTACAGAAATAGTGCCTTGTAAAGGTATTCACCCCATTGCGATTATGTTCCTTTCTGTTAACAAATTGTTTTATACATTTTTTAACGTTAACATTTTAATGCTCAAACTGAAAGAAATAAAATGTCTGTAAAAACTGCAAAGAAAAATCAGAAGCTAAAATATGTTGACTGCTCAAGTATTCATCCTCTTAACCTATGTGTTGTAAAAATGATTCAGAATCAGCTTTATTGTCTCCATGCAGTGGAATTTTCCTTTGGCCTCACTGAGACAACAATAAAAGCAATGCATATACAGAGCTGATCAAGTATTCAGTGGATTTTACAGACGTAAACTATCAATGTAATAGAAATAGCAATATCATAAAGTACACCCACCCATTTTCTAACTGCTTCTTCCAAGTCAGGGTTGCGGGGGAGCCGGAGCCTATCCTGGCAAGCAATGGGCACAAGGCAGGTTACACCCTGAATGGAACAGCAGTTCATTGCTGGGGAGACTGGCACATACTCACACCAGGGTCTATTTCCCAATTAATCTAGCAGTATGTTTTTAGACTGTGGGGGGAAAACGGAGCACCTGGAGGAAACCCACACAAACTTGGGGAGAACGTACATACTCTACACAGATAGCACCCCAGGTCCGGGACTGAATCCAAGGACTCAATGCTAACAACTGCACCACCATGCAATACGATACAGAACAAGAACATAAGATTCACATAAGTGTGAGCTACATGCACATACTGTATATGCTGTCAATGCAATACTCTGAAGGGGCTCATACATCAGAGTTTCAAAGAGTAATGGCACTCAACTTCATGATAAATGCACTTGTCTTTAAGATCCCAGGTTTCAGGCAAATATCCGCCTATTAAGGCCAAGGATCTTTTGAAAAAACCCGGGGATAAAGTAGTAGAAAAACACAAATCAGGTGTCGGGTATTGAAACTTGTAAGATAACGAATATGCCTTGGAGTACGGTGAAGTCAATCATTAAGAAGGGAAAGGGGTATCAAACCACCCAGATACTGCCTGGATCAGGCTGGCCCTCCAAACTGAGCAGCCAGACAAGGAGGAAACTGGTGATGGATGCCACTGGGAGGCCAATTGCAACTTTGAAAAAGGTGCAGAGTTCCAGTGACCATGATGGGAGCAAATATCCACACTATCAATCTTCACAAAGCTGGCCTGTATGCCAGGGAAGCAAGTGGGAAGACATTACTGAAAATAAACAACAAAGAATTGAAGTATAGAGCAAATGTGGCAAACAGATTTGTGGTCAGATGAAGTGAATGTCTTTGGTCTTAATGTGAAATGTTACATCTGGTGCAACCTCAACACAGTTCATCACCCTGTCAGTACCAACTCTCCTGCCAGGCATGCTGGTGGCAGCATTATTTTATGGGGCTACCTCTCATCAGTAGGAAGTAATTGTAATTGCTAAAACGCTGTTACTGCTGTCAAAGGTGCTTCCACCAAGTCGTGATTTAGTGGGGTGAATAATTGTGCAATCAACATATTTTGATTTTTCTTTACAGTTCTTGCTGACGTTTAACTACTCTGACCATTAAAGATGTTCTGTTTGAACATTCATGCTTTGATTAAAAATATTCACTGTAGAAAATGTATTAACTTTTGCAAAGCACTTTAGGTATTTGTTAACAGTCATTTCAGACTGCACTACTTCTACAACACTCAGTGCTGAGGACTGGTGATGTGAATTCCAGGTTCCTAAACTCTTATGGGATTGCATCATTAAAATGG